GATTCATTTTCACAAACGTGAGTCTCTCCACACTTTGGGTGGACAGTCGTGTCCGCCGCGGAGTTACAATACCTCCTGCCGCACTAAACACGCGCTCCGATGCCACGCTACTGGCCGGGCATGACAGCCTTTCAAGGGCAAAATTCAGCTAGTTGGGGCCAAAGGTCAAGTTTCGTTGCCCAGTAGTCAAGGGATTGTCTACCTCGGTTGGCAGGGTGCTGTCCAAGTAGGCCCAAGCCTGTTGTTTGAGGTCCTGCTCCAGGTCCACCTGATGCTGCTGCTGCTGCGGCTGGTTTAGTAGTTTCCTCACTGCGCTGGTGAAGAAAGCTACTCATCATCGACTGCAGACTGAGGCAGCCGCTGCTGGTGGAGCTGCCACTGCTCCTACCACCCCACCCCTCCCCTGCTGCCATGGCAGCGGAACGCGAGCGCACAGGGCCCACAGTGTCTGAGGATGGACGTTGGCGCAGAAAGGCAGAGACCAACTGACTACATAGGTGGTTTTTATAGTACTTTATTTTGGCCTCCCTCTCAGCAGGTGTGAAAAAGGCCACCATTTTTGAACGGTAGCGAGGGTCCAACAAGGTGGACAGCCAAAAGTCATCCCTCTGTCTGATGGTTATTATTCGGCTGTCGCTACGCAAGCAACCGAGCATGCTATGGGCCATTTGTGCCAAGGAATGCGAGGGACTCCCTGCCTCCATCTCCACAGCATACTGCCACGGTGCGTCTGGGTCCTCTGTCTCCTCCTCCTCCTCTACCAGATGCTCCTGCTCCTCCACTCCTGTCCGCTGAGTGGAAAAACCACCCATTTCACTCAATAATTCCTGAGCACCAATGTCCTCCTCTACCTCCTCCTCTTCTTCCTGTCCTGCCCCCACAGGGGTCATGTGGCGTTGAGATCTGTGCGCCACGTCTACCGCACCCTGACCAGCCATTGTTAACAGCATTTGTTCCAGGACGTGCAACAGAGGAATGACGTCGTTCATCCCATAGTCCTGCCGACTCACGAATAGCGTGGCTCCTCAAAGGGCCTGAGCAAGCGGCAGGTGTCACGCATGAGCTGCCAATGGCTGACATCAAAGTTACACAGGGGAGTACCTTTATCCGCTTGTAACATCAGGAAATCGGTGATGGCCTTTCGCTGTTCGTAAAGGCGGTCTAACATATGTAGGGTTGAATTCCACCTTGTTGCAACGTCGCAGATCAGGCGATGCTGTGGAATTCCGTTCTGCCGCTGCAGCTCAAGGAGGTGTGCTTTGCGGTGTAGGAATGGCTGAAATGCATGCAAAGTTTACGTGACATTTTAAGGATGTCTTGCAGTGGGATGGTGGATTTTAGGAACCGCTTGACAACCAGATTGAACACGAGCCATGCATGGCGCATGGCACAACCTTCCTTGATGCAGAGCAGACACCATGTTCTTTCCGTTGTCGGTCAACATGGTTCCGATTTTCAGTTTGCGCGGAGACAGCCATCTGTCGATTTCTCTGTTCATTACACTCAGAAGTTCCTCCCCTGTGTGACTACGTTCGCCAAGGCATACCAGGTGCAGCACTGCGTGATACCGTTGCGCCCTGCACATGTGATATGCCGGTCGGGTAATGGGACTTGGCACGGGGGTGGCGGCTGAGGACACGGCGGAAGAAGAGGTGGTAGAGGCGGACATCTTTGCTGGACCAAGGACGTGCAAACGTGGAGGCAAAAGCGGCGTGACCTGTCCAAGTTGCTGGTGCGGCTGTGCCGGCACCACGTTCACCCAGTGGGCCGTAAATGACATGTACTGTCCCTGACCGTAGTTACAGCTCCACACGTCGGCGCTGCCGTGCACTTTGGCAGAGACCGACATGCTCAAAGACTGGCCCACCATCTCTTCTACATGTGAATGCAGGGCTGGCACTGCCTTTTTGGTGAAGAAATGCCGGCTTGGCACTCTCCACCGCGGCTCGGCACAAGCCATCATTTCTCGGAAAGGTGCTGAGTCCACCACTTGGAAAGGGAGGGACTGCAGCACCAGCAACTTGGACAGGAGGACGTTCAGCTTCTGCACCGTCGGGTGCGTGCTCGCAAACTGTTGTCTCTTGAAAACGGATTCCAAGAAAGACTGCTGACGGAATCCGAGAAGAGGAGTAGCAGGAGAAGGAGCATCTGAACGAGCGGAAGATGCCAACGAGCGACAACTCCCCTCAGCAGAGGTGTTGGAGCCTTGACTGGCTGATAGAGGGCGATTGACGTCGGGTGATGGAGCAAGTAACGGAGCGGGTGATGGAGCGGGGGCTGGGGCAGGCAGAACCGCCGTATCTTTTATCACGGTTTTCCCAGGCCACCGAATGGCGACGCTGCATATGCTGATGCAACGCTGTAGTCCCAACATGGGCCCCCTAGCCACGCTTGACTTTCTGGCCACATAGTCGACATACGGCTACGTTTACTTCCTCGGGCGGCTTGATGAAAAATTGCCACACCGCCGAGTAGGAAACTTTGCCCCCCGCTACTCCTCACTGGCTGACTGCTACTTCCTCCGTGCACACCGGCACCACTACTGGCCGTGGTGGTAGGCTGCAGTGGAGCTGGTGCTTCTACTCCGTGGCCGTTTGGCTCCACTGACACTGCTGCGACCCTGCTGCCTCCTGGGCAACCCACCGACTGTTTTGCTCGCTGGCAAGCTGGCACCCTCTTCTCCTGATGATGCGGAAGCAATAGCCTGATGACGACGAGGCTGCCAAGTGCGATCAGCCTCATCATCATCAATTAGGGTCTCCGCGTCACTACTAGCCCCCTCGGCTGCGTGTGGGTCAGGAGACAGACCTGTCTCTAGACCGGCTACCGAGCCACTCTCCTCGCCATACTTCTTCGCCTGGCTGCTGAAGAGGCGGATGTCTCCCCCCGTTCCTGACCGCCCTCTGTTAGCTCTTCCTCACTGTACAGTGGGGCTGAGCCCACAGCATGCGATACTTCGCTTGGTGAGGGAACACCAAAGGACAGGGGCAGGTCGAGGACACGTGATTTCAGTGGGCTTGCTCCCGGGCCATGCCAACTAACGGTTGTGTCTGACGTACCCACCGACCGTTGGCTGTAGGTGTCAGAGGTGACCTGGGAAGAGGAAGACGACCGAGTCAACCAATCGATGACGGCAGGGTTGTCGGTGGAGACACGACCGCTGGATGACACCGGGAGCACTGGCCTCTGGCTGCGACTAGTGCTGCCTCGACCCCTTCCTCTGCTGCCACGTCTGCTCGCTCCTGAAACATTGCCTCCTCTGCCACTCCTCTGCGTGTTGTCTGACATACTCTTTAATTCAATAAGCACCCCAAACATAAAACAGGATTTAACTCTTTGAACGTACAATAGTGGTTGTGAAGCAGAAAGTCAGTTTATTTAGCACAATCGGTCAATTGCAGCTTGCCGTTGGCTGGAAACTGTACGTTTATGTCACTGGAATGCACTAATCACCCAAAAAATATTACCGCCACCCGGCGTGTATATGGATTTAACTCTTTGAACGTACAATAGTGGTTGTGAAGCAGAAAGTCAGTTTATTTAGCACAATCGGTCAATTGCAGCTTGCCGTTGGCTGGAAACTGTACGTTTATGTCACTGGAATGCACGAATCACCCAAAAAATATTACCGCCACCCGGCGTGTAAATGGATCTAACTCTTTGAACGTACAATAGTGGTTGTGAAGCAGAAAGTCAGTTTATTTAGCACAATCGGTCAATTGCAGCTTGCCGTTGGCTGGAAACTGTACGTTTATGTCACTGGAATGCACTAATCACCCAAAAAATATTACCGCCAGCCGGCGTGTAAATGGATTTAACTCTTTGAACGTACAATAGTGGTTGTGAAGCAGAAAGTCAGTTTATTTTGCACAATCGGCAAACTGCAGCACCAACTGTGCACGACAGCCACCAAAAAAAAAAAGGTGTATGTCACTTTAAATTTTCGATTCTTTGATAGCTGTGGCCCTAAGTAACGATTCTGTGTCCATGAGTAACGATTCTGTGTCCCTGAGTAACGATTCTGTGTCCCTGAGTAACGATTCTGTGGCCCCGAGTAACGATTCTGTGGCCCTAAAGTCTCTGTGGCCCTAACTCTGTCCCTTAATACACACAGGTCTGTCTCTCTTGAATGACCGGAGGCTAATGGAGAATTCTAAGATGGCCGCGATTTATAGCTCCACCATTACACAGTGCTGGCTGGCTGCTGATTGGCTAATGCGATCACATGTCATGAATGCATTATGGGTCAGCGCGCCTTGTCTGCGCGCCTTCCCAGAGATCCCCGCCCCATCTTCTCTGTCCATTTTCTCCGTCGCCACACACATGTCGCCGCCATTTTTGGGAAAATTCGATTCGTGCATCCGAAGTTTGCTAATCTTCGGATTCGTCGCGAATAGAATTTTTCCAAATCTTCGGAACGAATTCCACTTCGTCATGTTCGATTCGCTCATCTCTAAATATAACAGAATATGCAAAAAGGAAATAAAGGCCGCAAAAATTGAAAATGAACAACAGATTGCAAAAGATAGCAGGACCAACCCCCCAAAAATTCTTCAAATATATTATTAGTAAAAAGGTCAGGTCCGAGCATGAAGGCCCTTTGCAGAATCATCTAGAGTGGGTGACTGGGGACAAAGAAAAGGCACATTTATAAAATACCTTCTTCAGCTCTGTGTAAACAAAGGAGTATGGGGGGGCTCTTGTCCATAATGGGCGTGGTACTGACACAGCCCCAGATGATCCACATTGGTTCACAACTGATATGATCTGGAACGATTTAGACAGAATAAAGGTAAATAAAGCACCTGGATTGGATGGCATACACCCACGGGGCCTTAATCGCCTCCCTCCCGCCCGCCACATAAGGAAATGAAGGGCACAAGGTGGTTTTCTGGGAGGATGTCATATGACGTCATCCCACTCTAACCACACGTATGCGCCCCCGGGGTGTGCAGTGCAGCGATCAGTGGTGCACTGTGTCCCTCGGACACAGTGGATCACCGATCAGTGTAAAAAGACGATGACTTCGGCTCTGTCATGTGATCAGCTGTGTCCGATCACAGCTGATCACATGTAAATAAGGAAATTCCGGTTATCGGCATTTCTTTCCTCACGAGCTGTCACGCTGACAGAGGAGAGGAGAGCCGGTAATTGGCATTCCTCAGAGGGGACATCTACATTGATCATCAGGGCACTGATGATCAGTGCCCTGATGATCAGTGTAGCCCCATCAGTGCCACATATCAGTGCCCATCAGTGCACATCAATGCCACATATCAGTGCCTACCAGTGCACATCAATGCCACATATCAGTGCTCATCTGAGCTGCCTTTCAGTGCCAACTATCAGTGCCAGTCAGTGCTGCCTATCAGTACTGCCTATCAGTGCCATATATGAGTACTGCCTTACAGTGCCCATCAGTGATGTTTGTGAATGCCCACCAGTGATGCCTGTCAATGCCCATCAGTGCCACCTACCAGTGCCTCCTCATCGGTACCCATCTGTGCCGCCTATCAGTGCCCATCAATGCTGCCTATCAGTGCAGCCTATCAGTGTCCATCAGTGCAGTCTCATTAGCGCACATCAGTGAAAGAGAAAAATTACTCATGTACAAAATTTTATAACAGAAACTAAGAAAATTTTCTGTTGTTTTTGGTTTGTTTATCAAAAAATAAAAAACCAAGTGGTGATTAAATGCCACCAAAAGAAAGCTCTGTCTCAAAAAAATTATACAAATTTCATATGGATACAGTGTAGCATTTACCACACAAATGTCATTCAAAGTGCGACAGCGCTGAAAATTGGCCTGGCCAGGAAAGGGGTTAAAGTGCCTGGCAGGCAAATGGTTAAAGAATTGAGCTCTGTCATTTCAAAGCCATGGTTTTGAATTCATGATTTTTAGGGACTCTTTAATGACTGGCATAGTACCACTGGATTGGCGTAAGGCCAATGTGGTGCCAAAATTTAAAAAGGGGTCAAAATCTTTCCCAAGTAATTATAGACCTGTTAGTTTAACTTCTATAGTTGGGAAGATACTGGAGAGTTTAATAAGAGACCACATAGATGAGTTCTTGCTGGAAGAAAATATTTTAAGCAACAAACAGCATGGATTCATGAAAGACAGAAGTTGCCAAACAAATCTGATTTCTTTTTTATGAGGAGGTGAGCAAAACCTTGGACAGAGGGGGTGGCGGTGGACGTGGTATACTTGGACAGAGGGGTGGCGGTGGACGTGGTATACTTGGACAGAGGGGTGGCGGTGGACGTGGTATACTTGGACAGAGGGTGGCGGTGGACGTGGTATACTTGGACAGAGGGGTGGTGGCGCTGGACGTGGTATACTTGGACAGAGGGTGGCGGTGGACGTGGTATACTTGGACAGAGGGGTGGCGCTGGACGTGGTATACTTGGACAGAGGGGGTGGCGGTGGACGTGGTATACTTGGATTTTGCAAAAGCGTTTGACACAGTTCCCCACACACAGCTAATGTGTAAGGTAAAGTCTACAGGCTTGGAAAAATCTGTATGTAAATGGTCAGAAAACTGGCTAAAAGATCGTATTTAGAGAGTAGTGGTTAATGATTCACACTCTGAATGGTCTGGGGTTGTCAGTGGTGTACCCCAAGGTTCAGTGTTGGGACTCTTACTTTTTAATATATTTATAAACACAATATAGGTCTGAGATTAAGTATCCCATTTCAGTCTTTGTAGATGACACCAAGCTGTGCAGTGGAATAACGTCCTTACAGGATGTCTTCAACTTACAAGCCGACCTCAGTGCTCTGTGTAATTGGGAAACTATGTGGGCAAATGAGGTTTAATGTTGATAAATGTAAGGTTATGCACTTGGGGGCTAAGAATATGCATGTATCATACATACTGGGGGGGGGGGGTACAACTGGGGGAATCAATGGTGGAGAAGGATCTGGGGGTTCTGGTAGATCACAAGCTTAATAAATGCCAATGCCAAGCTGCGGTTTCTAAAGCGAGCAAAATCCTCTCTTGTATTAAAAGAGGTATAGACTCCAGAGAGAAATATCATATTACCCCCCCCCCCCCCCTTCCGGTACAAATCATTAGTAAAACCTCATCTGGAATATGCAGTTCAGTTTTGGGCACCAATTCACAAAAAGAACATTGGGGAACTGGAGAAAATACAGAGAAGGGCAACCAAACTGGTAAGAGGCATGGAGGAGCTCAGCTATGAGGAAAGATTAGAGGAACTCAATTTATTCTCTTGAGAAGAGGAGATTAAGGGGGGATATGATCAACATGTATAATTCATAAAGGGGGAGATATGATCTCCATGTATAATTCATAAGGGGGGGATATGATCTCCATGTATAATACATAATGGGGGATATGATCTCCATGTATAATACATAAGGGGGGGGATATGATCTCCATGTATAATACATAAGGGGGGGGGAGGATATGATCTCCATGTATAATACATAAGGGGGGGATATGATCAACATGTATAATACATAAGGGGGGATATGATCTCCATGTATAATACATAAGGGGGGGGGGGGATATGATCTCCATGTATAATACATAAGGGGGGGGGATATGATCTCCATGTATAATACATAAGGGGGGATATGATCTCCATGTATAATACATAAGGGGGGATATGATCTCCATGTATAATACATAAGGGGGGATATGATCTCCATGTATAATACATAAGGGGGGGGGATATGATCTCCATGTATAATACATAAGGGGGATATGATCTCCATGTATAATACATAAGGGGGGATATGATCTCCATGTATAATACATAAGGGGGGGATATGATCTCTCCATGTATAATACATAAGGGGGGATATGATCTCCATGTATAATACATAAGGGGGGGGGGGGATATGATCTCCATGTATAATACATAAGGGAGGATTGTGATCTCCATGTATAATACATAAGGGGGATATGATCTCCATGTATAATACATAAGGGGGGATATGATCTCCATGTATAATACATAAGGGGGGATATGATCTCCATGTATAATACATAAGGGGGGATATGATCTCCATGTATAATACATAAGGGGGATATGATCTCCATGTATAATACATAATGGGGGATATGATCTCCATGTATAATACATAAGGGGGGATATGATCTCCATGTATAATACATAAGGGGGGATATGATCTCCATGTATAATACATAAGGGGGGATATGATCTCCATGTATAATACATAAGGGGGGGGATATGATCTCCATGTATAATACATAAGGGGGGATATGATCTCCATGTATAATACATAAGGGGGGATATGATCTCCATGTATAATACATAAGGGGGGGATATGATCTCCATGTATAATACATAAGGGGGGATATGATCTCCATGTATAATACATAAGGGGGGGATATGATCTCCATGTATAATACATAAGGGGGGATATGATCTCCCATGTATAATACATAAATAAGGGGGGATATGATCTCCATGTATAATACATAAGGGGGGATATGATCTCCATGTATAATACATAAGGGGGGATATGATCTCCATGTATAATACATAAGGGGGATATGATCTCCATGTATAATACATAAGGGGGGATATGATCATCCATGTATAATACATAAGGGGGATATGATGATCTCCCATGTATAATACATAAGGGGGGATATGATCTCCATGTATAATACATAAGGGGGGATATGATCTCCATGTATAATACATAAGGGGGGATATGATCTCCATGTGTATATACATAAGGGGGATATGAATCATAATGTGATCTCCATGTAATACATAAGGGGGGATATGATCTCCATGTATAATACATAAGGGGGATATGATCTCCATGTATAATACATAAGGGGGGATATGATCTCCATGTATAATACATAAGGGGGGGTATGATCTCCATGTATAATACATAAGGGGGGGATATGATCTCCATGTATAATACATAAGGGGGGATATGATCTCCATGTATAATACATAAGGGGGGATATGATCTCCATGTATAATACATAAGGGGGGATATGATCTCCATGTATAATACATAAGGGGGGGATATGATCTCCATGTATAATACATAAGGGGGGATATGATCTCCATGTATAATACATAAGGGGGGATATGATCTCATGTATAATACATAAGGGGGGGATATGATCTCCATGTATAATACATAAGGGGGGATATGATCTCCATGTATAATACATAAGGGGGATATGATCTCCATGTATAATACATAAGGGGGATATATGATCTCCATGTATAATACATAAGGGGGATATGATCTCCATGATAATACATAAGGGGGGGATATATGATCTCCATGTATAATACATAAGGGGGGATATGATCTCCATGTATAATACATAAGGGGGGGATATGATCTCCATGTATAAATACATAAGGGGGGATATGATCTCCCATGTATAATACATAAGGGGGGATATGATCTCCATGTATAATACATAAGGGGGGATATGATCTCCATGTATAATACATAAGGGGGGATATGATCTCCATGTATAATACATAAGGGGGGATATGATCTCCATGTATAATACATAAGGGGGGATATGATCTCCATGTATAATACATAAGGGGGGATATGATCTCCATGTATAATACATAAGGGGGGATATGATCTCCATGTATAATACATAAGGGGGATATGATCTCCATGTATAATACATAAGGGGGGATATGATCTCCATGTATAATACATAAGGGGGGATATGATCTCCATGTATAATACATAAGGGGGATATGATCTCCATGTATAATAAATAAGGGGGGATATGATCTCCATGTATAATACATAAGGGGGGATATGATCTCCATGTATAATACATAAGGGGGGATATGATCACCATGTATAATACATAAGGGGGGATATGATCTCCATGTATAATACATAAGGGGGGATATGATCTCCATGTATAATACATAAGGGGGGATATGATCTCCATGTATAATACATAAGGGGGGATATGATCTCCATGTATAATACATAAGGGGGGATATGATCTCCATGTATAATACATAAGGGGGGATATGATCTCCATGTATAATACATAAGGGGGGATATGATCTCCATGTATAATACATAAGGGGGGGATATGATCTCCATGTATAATACATAAGGGGGGATATGATCTCCATGTATAATACATAAGGGGGGATATGATCTCCATGTATAATACATAAGGGGGGATATGATCTCCATGTATAATACATAAGGGGGGGATATGATCTCCATGTATAAAACATAAGGGGATATGATCACCATGTATAATACATAAGGGGGGGATATGATCTCCATGTATAATACATAAGGGGGATATGATCTCCATGTATAATACATAAGGGGGGATATGATCTCCATGTATAATACATAAGGGGGGGATATGATCTCCATGTATAATACATAAGGGGGATATGATCTCCATGTATAATACAATAAGGGGGGATATGATCTCCATG